TATTTTAGGGTTTGTTTGTTTGTTTGCAATGCTAGGATTTGAACTCAGGGCCTCATGCATAGTAGGAAGATGCTCTTACCCCTTGAGCCACTCTGCCAGCCCCTTTTTGTGATAGGCTTTCTAGAACTGTTTGCCCAGGGCTGGCTTCAAACCATGATCCTCCTGATATCTGCCTCCTGAGTAGCTAGGATTATAGGTCTGAGCCTATATTTTAGTTCTAAGTAAGACAGCATTTAAAAGATGGTTCTGCAGCTAAAAGTTTGAAATCACTGGGATTAACTTTTCTCCCACTCCTTTAACAGATAAGGAACTTGAGGCTCAGCAATTACAACTGAAGGTTACTCACCAAGATGACAGAATTGATGATCTCAGCACACAGATCCCTTAGCCTCCCCACCCACCCCTGCCATTGTGCCTCCCCCTTAACACAGCTCCTGCCACACTTGGTAATAGCTTTACTTATTTTGAGTCCCAGGAAAGAAGAGGACTTGACTTAGTTTTCTTTGTGACTATTCTTCTTTACAGAAAAAATAATGTCCTTTAGATCTCCCTGGTTAACTTCCTCTTCTTTTGCTTCTCTATAACATTTTAGTGGTGAAATTGTTCCAGAAAAAAGGCATTGCTTAAACCTTGGGAGTTTCCATTTTCCCTTTTTTGGCTTAGGATTCCCTTTGCTCTATTTGAAAGCAAGAGTCATAGCTCAGGAACTCTGTTTTCTGGCCTTAGAAAAATTTGAGACACTGTTATTATTCCCCAGATAATTTTAGTATCCTCCATCAGCTGCTTGTCTCACAGCTGTGCATTGATGAGCAGTTGCAAGATTAAATTCCATATGTGAGGAAAAGGAGACTGGAACACAGGAAAATCTGGGAAGGGATGAAATTTCAATTATAGAAATTTTTTTTTTCCTTTTTGAGACAGGGTCTCACTAAGTAGCCCAGGCTGGTCTCAAACTCGAGATCCTCCTGCCTCAGCTTCCCAAGTGCTGGAATTATAAATGTGCACCACCAACCTGGCTTTAATTATGGAAATTTCATTGCAATTTTTTTCCTCAACTTGGGTCTTCAACATGCTCCCCACCACCCTGTTCCAGCTGGGAGTAGTGAATTCATTATTGTGAATATGGTGAGTTATTCATTATCTGGTGAATTCTGCCAGAATAATGCTAGTTGCTTTAGTGCCTTTGAGGAAAGTTTGAGGCCTAAATTCTGGTGGAACATTAAATTTAGAAGTATTGAACCTCAGTAGCAGAACTCATGGTATATGCCTATAGTCCTGGTTTCTCTGGATGCTGAGGTGGGAGCCCAAGAAGTTGAGGCCAGCCTGGGTAACACAGCAAGACCCTGTCTCAAAAGAAAAAAAGGGATAAGGATGTCATGTGCTCCACCCCCCCAAAAAAAAAATTACTGAGCCTCACAGTCTCTTTAGTGTTCTGAGAGTACAAAATGTGAAAGTACCAAGGATCTAACTAGGAAGGAGCAGTGATGTAGTCTTTCTCCCCCTGAGACTACTACAAGTACCTCATTACAAATAAAAGGATGGCATACTTGAGTGTGGAGTTCATATCAGGGTTCAAGACGGTCTTTGGTGTACACTTTGTCTTCCAGATACCTCAGTGCTAAAAAGGACAGCGCTAAAGATGAAAACTATTTTGAAGCCAGCTGTAGTGTTGCACACCTGTAATCCTAGCATTTGGGAAGTTGAGGCAGGAGGATGATGAGTTCTAGGCTAGCATGGACAACTTAGTGAGACCATCTCAGGAAAAAAGAAAAGAAAAAGCTGTTTTGATCTATTAAGATCTGTGTTCCTGTTAGGACAGTAAAGGGAAGGGAACCTCTGAGCATATTTACTCAACTAACTGCAGTGTAAATACCTTTATTGGAGAACAGTTGACTAACTATAAATCTGTGTGTTGATTGGCTCTGTCTTTCATATATTGTATTATCGCTGTAATATACTGTAGATGATTGTCCAAGGAGTGGGGAACGAGAAGTACAAGGCCCATTGTAAGTTCCTGTTTAGTTAGAGACCACTGTGTTTCTCAATTCCCACTTGGAGGCAGTCTCTTAGACTCATACTACCAGTGTGTGTGGGAGAATCTATGTACAAGGACATTCACCAAAGCACTATTTGCAATGGTGAAAAACTAGAAACAACCAAATGCCCATTAAAGAAGCATGGTTGAATTATATTTATCATGGAAGAGCATTGTCAAGGTTATCAAAGACATCTGTGTTGCTAAATGGAGGAGACGTTTCCTGCCCTTTATCTTATATAACATCTCACCAATTCTTCTCAGATATTTTCTTCTCTAGGCTTTTCTGGCAGTCGCCTTGTTTTCCTCCTATATCTCTGTCTGTTCCTTGTCCTTCTATCTTATGTCTTCTTCCTCTTCCAACTGCTAAATGTTAAGAGTCTCCCCAACTGAGTTCTGGGCACCTTCTCGCACTGTACACTTCATCTACTCCTGTGGCTTTAATACCTTGTATGGGCAGACAAGTCCTAAATGTATATGACTAGCTCTGACCTCTCTTCTGAGCTCCAGATGCTTGTATCTAATTATTGCTACCATCAAATGGGTGTTTTAGTTAATATGGCTGATCCTGAACTCTTGATTTTCCCAGGCCCCAGATTTGCCCCAAGTCTCAGCAAACATTATTTTCACTTGACTTAATTGCCAAAAATCTGGAAATTATTATTTTTTTAAATACTGGTGTTTAAACTCAGGCCTTGGATTTGCTAGGCAGGTGTGGGAATCATTCTTGACTTCTCCTTTCCTCTTTCCAGTCCCCTTATTGCCAATCTGTTGGTTCTACCTCTGAAACATATCTAAAATCTATTCACTTTTCTTTATCTCCAATGTTGCCATCCCGGGCCAAGTCAGCAGTATCTCATTAATTCCACTTCCATTCTCAGCCTTGACAGTCCATTCTCCACATGCCAGAGCATTCTTTTAAAAACGTGAATTGGCTCACTGACCATCCATTGTTCTTATCATTTAAACTCAAAATCCTGAGCATGGTCTATAAATTGTAGCTCAACATGATCTGCCTCTGCTTCCCAGCCTCGTCTTCTTTCTTTTTCCTTTCTTGGTGTGTTTCAGCAACATTGGAGTTCTTTGTGTACTTTATGCACACAGGACACTTTCTTGCCCTGAGGCCTTTGCACATGCTATTTTTCTGTGCTTGAAATGTTTTTTTCCTCTCTTTTTTGCCTGGCTAACTCCTTGTGGTCAAATTTCCAGTCTTTTTTTTTTTTTTTTCATGAGGCACTGGGGTTTGAACCCAGGACCGTACACTTGCTAGGCAGGTGCTCTACCATTTGAGCCACTCTGCCAGCCAAATTTCCAGTCTTATCCTAAAGGTCATTTCCTCAGCAAGGTTCTCCTTTTTTAAAAATTTGTTTTATTTTTAATTAACAAATAATAATTGTATATATTAGTTGGGCTTGGTAATGCATACTTGTAATCCCAACTCCTGGAGAAGCAGAGAGGCAGGAGGATCAACAGTTCTAGGTCAGCCTAGGAAAACTTTTCAAGACCCGTTCAAAAACAAAATATACCCAACCCTGTGGCCCCTGTCCCTTTCTTCCTCTTTGTGTCAGTTTCATATTTGCTAAGACAAATTTGCTCATTAAACATTTTGTTGTATTTTACCTTAAAAAATATATATAAACAAAAGGGCTGGAGGCATGGCTTAAATGGCAGAGAGTTTGCCTAGCACATAGGAAGTCCTGAGTTTAAACCCCAGTACAGCAAATAAATAAATGTGTATATTTAGGGGATACAGTGTGATATTGCAGTATATGAATACACTGTGGAATGATCAAGTTAGACTAATTAACATGTGGAGACTTTCCTTGACCTTCCACTCTCTTTCTCAGTTTGGTTCTTTTGTTAAGTTGTTTAATAATACTCTGTTCTTTTTCTTTGAAGGACTTATCATTGTGAGGGAGGGGGCTTTGGGGGTCCTCACAAATGCTAGGTGAGCAGTCTACCACTGAACCACACCCCCAGCCCTTTTGTGGTATTTTAATGTCTAAACAGTAAGCTGTCTTAGGGCAGAAATCATGTCTGCTTTGGTTTTTGTTTTTGCTACTTTTTCTCTAGTGCATAGAACATAGTAGGCACCAATAAATACATCTTTTCTTTTTTTATTCCAGTACCGGGGATTAAACCTATGCTCTACTACTGAGCTACACATCAGTCTTTTTTTTTTTTTTTTTTTTTTGAGACAGAGTCTTGCTTTGCTATGGAGCCCAGGTTGTCCTGGAACTCTTGATCCTCCTGCCTCTATCTCCCGGGTTGCTGGGATGACAGGTGTATGCTACCACACCCAGCATAAAAGACATGTTAAGTGGCATTTAAAAACATGTCATACCATCAAGTACATATAACCGAACTAAAGTGACAATAATAATAATTTAGACTAAACTCAGACATGTGCAGGCAGTATGACTGCTTCTCAACCACTTGGCCAGCAACTATCATAAGATTTCAGAGGCTTTAATGTGTATGTGTGCATTGTGGGGGGTGAGGGTGGGGGATGTGCATCTTAGGTTTAATGTAGTGTTGTATTTACTTGACTAATTCCAAAGCATTTTTATACAATGATGTCACTTAATTTTTCTAGCAGACCTGATAATAGATTATAAAGCTGTTTTCTAGATAAAAGGAAACTGAAGCTTAGAGAAGTCTTATGAATTGCCAGAAGTCACAGTTATTAAGTGACAAAACTAGAACATAAACCCAAGACTTTCTCCTCTATCCAGTTCTTTCCCAGCATTTGACCTCATCTACATGGATCTTTCTGTTATATCAGGGCACGACTGGGCCAGCCCCAGGAAGCGGGGGCTGCTCTGATTCTTCGCTTCTTCTGATAGTTAATTAAAGACAACTGCTAGCAGAAATAGGTATGCAGAAGTGGTTTTCTTAAAGATTGAAAGAGTAAAAATAAAGTTTAATTTGAGGACATTTTCTTTTTTTCTCCTCTTCTCTGAAGGTACCAGAAAGCAGCTGAAGAGGCAAATATGGAAAAGAAAAGAAATGTAAGTATTCAGAAGCCCCAGGGCACATGGAACTTCATGAACAGAATCTGTGTGGCCAAGCCAACTGCAGCTCTTTGGGGTCTGGGCTCCATTCAGTTGTATTGGACATTTATGCCAGATGGTCTGATTTTTGAGCCATTTGCCTGGGAGAAGTTAGCTAAGGTGCAGGGGATCTTATTTCTTCACTGAGATTCTCCTTTTGGACTCCCTTTTATCTTTCCTGTACTGAGTGAAGGATGTAAAGCCAAGTGCTTTGTCTGAGGTTAGTAAAATGACTTACAACTTCCTGCTCAAATGAGAACACAGTTTTCTAGGCTGCTATCTTTTTTTCCAAGTCAAACAACCAGAATTTCTGTATCTCTGCATTTAAATGGTAGTAACTGTGCAGCTGTTGTCATCCTCTGGGTTCTTTGACTCAGTCTGGTTAGCAAGTTTCATAGGTGCAGGATCCATCAAAGACAAAAAACTCCAGAACGAGCTCCCTGCGAGTACCCAGTACCCATTCTCTACTCTGCCTGCTTGTTAACTTCCAGCTGGGCTGTATAACATATTGCTTTTGAAATCTTACTTGACTTAACCTTTTTAAAATTCAAGACAGAATCTCAGTGTGTTGCTCAAGCTGGCTTTGAACTTGTGAGCTTCAGTGATTCCCCCTGCCTTAACCTCCTGAATAGCTGGGAACAGATGAGTGGCACAGTGTCTGGCTCCTTGATTCAATTTTTTTTTTTTTTCCTGAAGTGCTAGGGATCAAATCCTGGGCCTTGTACATTCTATGTAAGCTCTCTACTACTGAACTACATTCCCAGCACTTGGGTTTTTTTGAGACAGAGTCTTGATCTGAAACTTAGGCTGGCCTTGAACTAGCTATATAGCCCAGGGTGACCTCAAATTTGTGATCCTCCTGCCTCAGCTGTATGAGTGCTGGGAGTATACCACCAATGGCCTGATTTAACATTTTTTTTTTTTGTTTTTTGATAGTACTGGGGTTTAAACTCAGAGTTTTGTGCTGCTTGGCAGGTACTCTACTGCTTGAGCTACACCTCCATTACCCTGATTTAATCTTTTTTTAAATTTTTTTATTTTTGCAGTACTGGGGTTTGAACTCAGAGCCTACACCTTGAGCCACTCCACCAGCAACTTTTTTGAAATAGGGTCTCTTAAACTATTTGCCTGGGCTGGCTTCGAACTGCAATCCTCTTGATCTCTGCTTCCTGAGTAGGTAGGATTACAGGCATGAGCCACTGGCACCCTGCTCTGATTTAATCTTATAAGGAAAAAAAAGTCACATATTTGGACAAGAATTTTTTAGTTTAGCTGGCCTTACAAAAACATCCTTCTGGCCCTTTTCAGTACCTAACCTATTTAAATGAGTGCGTAACACAGTCTCTATCAATTTGTTCTCTGTAAAGGGATAATACTGACCAGGTCTTAGTCAACTGTAATTTGAAAACAGATCTCCTCTGGTACATTATAAGAAAAAAGCTACCATTATTTCACTCAACCACTGGTTTCTTCTGTCCTTCCCTCTCCTGCTTGTTTTTTCCTCTTCTTCCTTCCTTCTTTCTTTTTATTCATTAATTTAGCAAGTTTTCACAAAGTACCTACTGCATGCCAAACACTTTTTTAGGCACTAAGAATATGGACTACATCTCCCTTATGGAGTTTACATTCCAGAAAGAAAGAAATTGTGTCAGGCAGTGATTAGTGCTATGAAACACATGAATCAGGTACAAAGGATAGAGTTTAGGTACAATCCTCTTACAAGGTGACATTTGGGCAGAGATCTGAGGATATGAGCCAAGGAAAAGAAAGACTGAGGCAGAAGAAACAGCATGTGCAAATGCAAAGGGGGAAAGCAGTCTTAGTGTATTTGAGAATTAGGAAGAGAAAAGTCATACAGGGTCATTGGAAGATCTGGACTTAAACTCTGAAGCAAAGGAGGCCTGAGGGAGGGTGATTGTATGCAAATAACTGATGTGATCTGACTTATATTGTAGAAGAACAATGGCAGAAGCATGGATACAATTATAATGATTTAGGAAATGAATTATAATGGATTGGACTACAGTGGTAGCAGTATATGAGAAATTGTCAGGATTTGTGTTGAAGGTAGAGAGAAAGAGAAGAATCAAGAATGGCAATAATAATATTTTTGGCCCAACATCATTAAATTAAATTAAGTTAAAAATGGGAAGGTTGCACTAAAAGCAGGTTCAGAGTGGGGGAATTAGAAGAAGCTCATATTTGGATATATTAAATGTGAAGTGCTTTTTTAAAGATATTTAAGTGGAAATGCCAAATAGGAATGCAGAGATCTAGGAAGAGATCTAGGCTAGAGATAGAATGGGTGTACATCAAAGTATCAGTGGTAATTAAATGAGATAACCAAGGGAGTGATGGTAGACTGAAGAGTTTTGAGGACTAAACTCAAGGGCACCACAGTATTTAAAGTTTGAAGAGATGAGGAGGAACCAGCAGAAGAGAGAGAGGGAGCAGTTAACAAAGAGCATTAGAAGCAGGAGAAAGGGATGCCAGAAGCCAAGTGAAGGAAGTGTTTCTAGGAGACATCAGAGTCAAATACAGATAAGCTGAGAATTAACCATTAGATTTGGTAACAGGAATGTCACTGGTTACCTTGTACTGCTTGAGAATAGTGAGATAAAGGCCTTATTGGACTAGGTCCAAGATAATAGGATGAGTATAGACAAACGTCTATGGATAATCTCTTATGTACTAGGTTCTGAAGACAGATCAGTAAGATGCATTTCCTCCCTTCAAGGGACCATTTAGGGTTTAGAAAACAGAACTTATAACCCAGGTGTGATAAATATAATATCAAAGAAATAGTTGTGATTTGGGGGGGAAATTTAACATGGACCCATAGCCAGGACTGTGCCACATCAAGGAAGGCTTCCCAAAAGAAGCGATACCTGACTAAGCTAAAGGGGCAGAGAGTGTATCCTAGACAGAGGAAGCAGCACATGCACAGCATGAAAGCATAAGAACCAGTTGACAGATGGAAGGGGAATTGTCACATTCTCTAAGGTGAAGAATTCAGGAAAAGGAACATGTTAGAGTGAGAAGAAAAGAGAGAAAGGGGAAGTCTTCAACCTTAGGGAAAGGTGAGTTTTAGATGCCTATATAGCATGTCCAAGTAGAGTTGGTAGGTAAAGAGAGACTAGCCAGAGGTATAGATCACAGATCATCCACAGATAGCTGGTGGGTGAAAGCAGGGGGTGGGTATCTACAGGGAACATGCAAAGTGAGCAAACTAGAGTGCCCAAGACCAAACCTTGAGGTGCCCCACCATATAAAGGAGGGAGGACAGAGAAAGAAAAAGCTTTAAAGGAAACTGAGAAGTATGTAGAGAAATGGAATCAAATGTAGGGAAAAGGGATATCACAGAAAACATGGAAGGAATTTTTTTTTTTTTTTTTTTTTTTGGTGATACTGGAGTTTGAACTCAGGGCCTCCACACTAGGTAGACAAGTGTTCTACCACTTGAACCACACCCCCACCCTTTTTTTGCTTTAGTTATTTTTTTGGAAAGGGTCTTGAATTTGTCTGGGCTAACCTCAAACTTCAGTCCTACCAATCTCTGCCTCCCAAGTAGATGGGATTATAGACATGTATACCACACTGGGCCCTGAAGGAAGGAATTTTTAAAAAATGAAATCACATAAAGCAGAAATGTCCTTTGCATTTGGTGATTGAGGTAAGTGGATGTAAATGGTAATTAAAGAATAAACAATAAACAGGAACAAACGCTTAGCCTCACCGATAATCAGAGAAACATAAATAAAAGTAACAGTGAGATATAAATTGTAACATAACCAGTTGGCAAAAAAGTTTGACAATGCATATACTCATCAAAAGCAGAATGGTAAATCGTGATACATACATACAACATAATATATGTATAATATGGTGGTTAAGATTTTATGTATGGCAGGTCTGGATGGCTTAAGTGGTAGAGATCCTGCCTAGTAAACATGAGGCCCTGAGTTCAAATCCCAGTACTGGAAAAAAAAAAAGATTTTATGTGTGGACATGGAAAGGTATCCAAAACTGAAGTATAAATTAACCAGGCATGGTAGTACAGGCCTGTGATCCCAGCACTGGGGTGGCTGAGGAAGAAGGATAGTAAGTTCAAGGCCAGCCTGGGCTATACGGTGAGACCCTGTATCGGAAAAAAAAAAAAAAAAAAGCCCATAAATTAATTAAAGCAAAGTGCAGTACAGTATGATCTTGTAGGAAAAATTATAGAGTATAAAAATAGAAAAAAGTTGATAGTGGCCAGATTTGGTGAGACATGCCTGAAATTCCAGCACTTTGGAAGCAGAGACAGGAGGCTCACAAGTTTGAGATCAACCTGGGCCTCATATGAGACCTCTTTTCTTTTCCAAAGAAAAACGTATCCAAATTTGTACATCCCAGAGTGACCTATCCCAACTCTAAGTCAGATGCTCATACAGGAAGGACACTATCACATCTCCTCTGTGTGATCTGGATTTAGGCAGACATTTATAGTCCAAAGGCAACATCTGCCAAAATTCTGAGGCTTACTGGATAGAAAGAATAGGAGGAACCAACATGGTCTTTGTAGACTTTCAGCCTTCTTGTCTTCAGAGTGCCTTATTCTAGGAAAATACTTCAGAAGAAATTAAAATACAAATAACATCAGAATTTCACCTTACTTTGTGCCCCCTACCCTGTGATGCAAATAGAAAGAACAGGAAGAATGTATAATCTAAGTTCAGGATTTGAGAGACAATGAGGCACTGTGGTTGGTCATGACTGGTCACTATAGTGAGGAGCTGGCCAGAGGAATTGGGAAGACCCCTCATTTTTGTCGTTCATAATTGTCACCACTTGCTGGATGCATACTTATGTCAAATATTACACTATACATATTAACACAGTCTCATTTATTTTTACAACAACCCTGTATAATAGATTTCAGAAACTAAGAAACCTATCAAAGGTCACTTGGTTGGTAGAGGTAGATTATGCAAGCAATACATGTTCATTGTAGATAATACAAAGATTATCATTACTTTTTTTGGGGGGGTGGTGGGAACGAACAAGGGTAGGCAGGCACCTTACCACATGAACCATGCCCCAACCCTAATACAAAGAAAGAAGAAAATTGATCTGTAGTCCATTATCCAGTGATAACCCAGGCCTTTCAGTCTATATTCTTTTGTTGTTTTGATTTTAGCTATTGCTTTTGTTGTGTAACTTCTTGCTTCTCTTTCTTCCCCATCTTTGCTTGCCTTGGGTCCTAAAGACTTGAACAACTGCCATGGCTTGGGCAGCACTCCTGGGAATGATTTAAGGGTGTGGGGCCTTTAATGCTGTCAGATCACACTGCCCTGCCCTTCTCCTTTTTGTCTCCACCCCTGCCTCAGCACTCTTGAACTTGTATCTTCAGAGGCTCATTTTAATAAGAGTGCATACTTACTCCTCCTGATAATGCTCCCTAAGGGGAGGTCCTCCACCCAGGCCTTATTTAGGACACTGCTGCTACTCTACCACCCAAACCCTCTCTTGCTGTGGTCACAAGTAAAGAATAAATGACAGTATTCAGGCTGCTTACAGTAACATCAAATTTATTTAATATTCTGTGAAAAGCCTTTTTGTGATATGAAGGTGATATATAATTTTATTTTGTATTTGTGTTTATCATGAATATGCATTTATTGTAAAGAGAAAATACAAGTGCCATAATCCATCTTCCCCAAAATAACCTGCTAATATCCTGATGTCTCTTCTTCCAGACTACTTTTCTATGTTCCTATATATATATATATATGCACACGCATGTGTATTATAAAATGGGATCTTCTGAATTATAATTCACTTTTTTCATTCAAAAGTACCTTATGATATGAGGGTTTTTTTGTTTTGTTTTGTTTTCTTTTCTTTGGCAGTACTGGGGGTTTGAACTCAAGGCCTCATACTTGCTAGGCAGGCACTGTACTGCTTGAGCCACTCCACAAGCCCCCCTCCAAAAAAAGAAAAATCAGAAAACGTATCTTATGGGCATCTTTCTATGTCCGTAAATTTACTTTGATCCCGTGATACGTGTCTGAGAAAAGTAGTGTTCAGTTACCAAGGCAGAATGCTGCTCAGGTTTGCAGGGCTCCTGTGTGGGCAAGGTAAGGCAGGTGAATACGGAGGCCCAGGTGCCTCAACCATCATGTGGTATGAGGCAGTAGAGCTGAGAATGCTGTTGGTGACAAGCACCAGATTATAGAGCTTTTTATTTTTGAGGCGTAATCCCTCTGTGTAGCCCCAGCCTGACCTGGAACTCTGGCTCCTCCTGCGTCAGTTTCACAAGTATTTATATATGTATGTATGAATGATGGGATCTCACTGTGTTCCCCAAGCTGGTCTTAAATTCCTGGGCTGAATTGATCCTTCTACCTCAGCCTCCCAAGTAGGTGGGAATAAAGGTGTGAACCACCATGCCTAGCAGGAACTGTTTTTATGGAGGGTGAGCTTATTTTTAATGAGAATACAGACTTTAATAATCTTTCCCAGAGACTTATTTATTTCTTTATTTTGCGTTACTGAAGTTTGAACTCAGGGCCTACCCCTGGAGCCACTCTACCAGCCCTTTTTTGTGATGGATTTTTTTCAAGATAGGGTCTTGCAAGCTATTTGTCTGGGCTGCCTTCAAACTGTGATCCTGCTGATCTCTGCCTCCTGAGTAGCAAGGAGGGCTGGTGGAGTGGCTGAAATGCTGCCTAGCAAGCATGAGGCCCTGAGTTTAAACCCCAGTACTACCCAAAAAAAAAAAAAAAAAATATATATATATATATATATATATATGTATATACATATGTACCCTGAATAGCTAGGATTACACGTATGAGCCACCAGCACCTGGCAATTTTAGTTATATCTCATTGACAACCTTATCTGAAAGAGGGATTGAATTCAGGGCTTCAGGCTTGCAGGACAGAAGCTCTTGCTGCATGAGTCACTCCAGCCCTTTTTTGTGATTTTTTTTTTTTTTTGAGATAGGGTCTCCAGAACTATTTGCCTCGGGCTGGCTTCAAACCTTGATCCTCCTGATGTCTGCTTCCTGAGTAGCTAGGATTACAGGTGTGAGCCACTGGCACCCATCTGAAAGGGAGATTAGGAAATGTAATTCTTTGCCTCCTTAATTAAAATATGGGTTCTGTTAATAAGGAAGAAGGAAGAATAAATACTGTGATAATCTGTAGCATAGGAGATAGCTACCATAAAGATCAGATTTGTATTCAAGTATATACAACATTCTTAGAAGATTGCCAATTCTCCTAGTGATCTTAGCATTGTTGTTTTTGTTTTTTGGCTCTCTTGGTATTTTCCTTTAGTTAGTTCCAGCTTTTGTGAAATAATAAATTCCCTATGGTCTTGTTTGAAGAGGCTTAAATCTTCTTCATCTTCTAGCATGTATATGGCTTCCACTTTGTCTCATAGTGTTTTTTAAGGAACTGATTTCTAGAAAAATTTGTGTAAGGTTTCAGAGGGCCAGCCTGTGGTCACTTGTGTCCATGTTTTTGGGTCCAATTGTGAGGCAGAATATCATGGCAGCCAGAGGTTGTGAAGGAGGCACCTATTTACTTCATGGTAGATTGGAGGCAGAGCCATTTTTTATTTCTCACCAAAAACCTTTTATATTTCTCCTATCTCTGATCCATAGATGCTTTCTGCAATGATCATCTTCTACACTGCAACTTAAACACTAGAATCAAGCAGTTGTTCTTCTATAACTTTACTTTTTCAAGTCTTGCTGCTACTTGATGAAGTGCCTCTCTGTGTATTCAGAAGAGTAACAGGGTGAGAGACCTAATTCCCAATATAGCTGCTAATCCTTTTTAATTCCCTGAAGTCTTTCAGTCCTAGGTTGTTTGTCCTTTCTTAGTTGAAACCCTGGGAAGTCACAGACTGCAGGAATGGAGAGTAAGAAGGTACTAAAAGCCACAGTTGGTTGGAAGGTAGTGCTGTTCAGTTTATTTAGGACTTTCAAAGCATAAAATGCTTAATTTTATTTCAACAAGCATGTTTCCTTTATCATCCTACAACATCAGTGACAATTTCCACGTCGTTTTCAATCTGTCTTTTATATATATGTAAAAATTCCATTTTAAATCCAGGTGAAAGAGAACTCTCTCTCTTAGGTATGTATGTAAATGGGTAATCTTTCAGTCACCAGACTGGGTGGTAGTTGTGTATCCTTATGAAGCGTACATGGTTTTCAACCTAAGGATCTATAGAATAATGAATTTTCTAAGACAACTAAGAATTCAGACATAGATAAACTTGCAAAGAAAAGTAGGGGATAAAAGAGGATTAGATTCTTATGTAGAAACAAAATTTGAGGGCTGGAGGTGTAGCTCAGTGGTAAAGTGCTTACCTAAGATGCACAAGACCCTGGGTTTGATACCAGCACTGCCAAAAAAAAGATGTTTATATGCACGTAAATTATGTCACGTATAACTAAATATCATTTATGCAAATACTTACAAAAGTCTAGTGACTTCTTTATGTTTCTACAGATAGTTTCAGTCCTTGAAACTACTATCCATGATTATTAGTATTGCATATTTTCAGTTATTCTTTGTCTTTCTCTTTTTTTGTTGTCTTTCTTTTCTTACAATGCTAGGGATCCAACCTATGTCCCTGTGTGTGGTAGGCAAATGCTCTGCCACTGAGCTGCATCCCCAGCCCTCTTTGTCTTATTTTTAAAAGGAAGAAACAACATCAGAATTCATCACTTAATTTTGTGGCACACTTTAATGAACTTTTATTAAAACATAGTTACAATATTTGAGGTAACTGGTATTTTGCTTTTTCTTCTTGCTTTCCCTATGAATCTGGATAAAAATCTCTGGTCTCCAGTGAAACTATCATTATATCTGGGCTGTCCTTTCTTCTCATTTTGTCCTTATAAGGCTATCCTGTTTTATCACTTCCTGCTTCAGCTCCAGACTTTTTCTCTCTTCCCCTCCCATCCTGGGTGGATGCTTGCTCCATGTGGCAGAGCTGTAACTGTTCACAGCTGTCCAAAAACGGCTGTGGACCAGGGGCAGCTTGAAGTTTTAACTTTCGTTTTACAGAGAACAACATACTTGAGTGTTGCAGCAGGCAAGTTATAACTGGCATTTACTTCTTGTCCTTGTAGAACACTGAAAATCTCCCCCAGCACTTTAGAAGGGGGACCCTGACTGTGTTGAAGAAGAAGTGGGAGAAACCTCTACCAGGAGCAGAATCGCACACAGACCCTCTGCCAAAAAGCAGCATTGAGGTTAGGCACAGAGCGGACCACCATCCTGCAGAAGTGACAAGCAACTCTGCTTCTGGAGCCAGAGCGGATCACAGTGAACAAACCCAGCCCAGACCTAGATTTGGATCACGTCCTGAAACCCTTCCTCAGTGCCGGGATCCCCACTCCGAGGACAGGGAGGATCTTAAAGCCCACACAACAGAAAGTAAAAAAATGGAAAATTGTCTAGGAGAGTCCAGGCATGAAGTCGAGAGATCCGAAATGAGTGAAAACACAGAATCTTCAGGCAAAATAGAGAAGTACAATGTTCCACTGAACAGACTTAAGATGATGTTTGAGAAAGGTGAACCAACTCAGACCAAGGTAAGAATTGGGTGGGTTTAAAACTTGAGAAAGCCAATTCACATAATAACAAAGCTGTTTTTCTAATCTGGACAGCTGGAGTAGAGTTGAATATGTGGTCAGTATGTCTTTTGATTCAAGTTAGATGAGTTAATAAAAAGTCTCAAATGAACTATTTACATAGATTTGTATGTGTGTGTGTGTACCAATTTTTGTGTTAAATCAAGTTCACACTGGGATTCAAGTTGGTATCTAGAAATAAAGAGAGTTGGATACTGATTGGGTTATGTGTTTTGGTACACTTGCCCTTTTAATTTGTCTTCCTGTGCCTTTTGTCATTTGTAGCCTTGGGGGTGGAATTACTGCTGAATCGCCTTCTGCTTGGACACAGCTGCAGACAGTGTTAAGGCCAGAGTTTAACATTAAGACTGAGGCTTAGTTGTCTCTTTGCGAGCTGAATCCCTTCTCTTCTCAACTTCCTCATCTGTGCCTTCCAACAAATGTTTTTTATCTGCTAAAATCCTCTCCCAGGAAAAATCAATGAAGATAGCCAGACTAACTATAGCTTTCAGGAGTTTTGACTCTGCAAATGCACAGGGTTGCATTTTCCTACAACTGCTAATGAAATTTGATCCTTCATGTGGATTGCAGACTGAGTCCCCAGAGGGAATTACTTAACTAGAAAATGAGTTACATATGCTTGTGACTTATAACACAGTCCAGGGGCTGAAAAACTGGTAAATTTTTCCAGTTTTCTCATACTTTCCTACATATCTGGCTTTGTACGTGGGGATGGTTTGTTACAATAGTCATTATAATGAAATAAACAGATCTGATGGGTAGCAAAGCCATCATTTACTCTTGATTCCATCTAGATAGGAAAGATTGAATTTTTCAAAAAGGTAGCCATTTGGCCCAAATCCCTACATTTGTGAATAGCATTTCAGAATTCTTTCTGAAATTAAAGGAAAAATAGATTAGTCATTCTGTAATTCTCAATTATGTTCAGGGTAACATTGTCAATTCCTTCCCATGACTTGCTGTGTCTGTTGTCTAGGAAAGTTCTTGATTGTTTGAGGGTCATGTTTGAAAGCTTAGGAAGAATTTTTAAAGTTTGTAAAGCTAGAACCCTTTTCTGTGCATGAACTGAAGCTTTGCTTTAACACTGAAACCAATTGGCAAATGATGTAACCACAAAGCAGTTGTATGATTTTTCTTAAACTCTCTTCCCTCTCAATTTTTAGTTCCCTAGGCCTGCCAACTCCCTCTTTCCCCTTTATGGTCTTAATAATTTTTTTTTAATCTAAATTGAAAGAAGAATTTTAAATGGAAGGAAAAAAATGTCAGAAATTCTAAATAGAGAGGAAGGGGCTTTGTTGTGACTCAAAGCACCATTGTAAGTCTCCTCCTCACAGACCCTGCTAGGGGTAGGACGCTGATGTCATGCCAGCACTCACAATGTGGATTCAGTGCAAAAGGGCTGTGCATGTCAAAACTGGCCCAAGGTAGGAAATGACTAGGACTGAAGCAAACAAAAATGCTGATTATGTGTAAGGATCTGGTGAGAGACTTTTCTCATAAATGTCTAGTTAGAGATGGGTCAGAACAAGCCTATTTCTTTATGTCTGGTCATAGTGGAGGAAAAACCATCCCATATAAAGAAAAGCCCTACTAGATTGCTGATAGCAGCCTGGTGGTTAAACTCACAGGAAGATGGACAAGTTCTGAGATTCACCTGAGCTTTTGGGTTTGTGTGTGTGTGTATGTATGTGCCTTTTGTACTTCCTGATTAAATAGCTTTTCTTCTTAAAGACTGAAAAGCATAGCTACCCTTGGTTTTATAGCTGTTTCTAAGCAAACATCATTATCTATGTTGGAAACAGTCCAAATTACTTTTAAAAGTTTTGTCCAATATTTCAATCAAGTCTTAAGAAAAGTTTTGCCTACTTTAGATTGAGAAATAATTAATCAGTTTGCAATTAGGTATGGTTATTATTAACATAATTTCAGCTTTAACATGAATAAGGCTTTACTTGGGAAGTTACACATTTGGATCTTTGGAAGGAAGTTCTAAGAAATATGGTAGGAATGCTAGAAATCCTAGGAGCAAGATTATACAAGTATATATTTAAGAGCCAACAAATTAGTACCTCAGTGTGACAAATGGAATTGTGTGAATCTTTGGTTCCATAATTGAATTTTAGACAACTGGATTGAATCTCAAGAAGCTGAGAGAGGTCAGCAAGTATCTAGATAATGAAAATGCATGGTCTAGAGTCCTCCAAAATCTTTTTATCCTAGTTTTTTACATGAGGCAAAGTGAGCTGGCTTAAGTTCTGCTTTTCTTAGGCTTTCTTGTACCCTTGTTTCAGATGATTTTTGCTCTTGTCCACTTCTCTTCCCTTCTCTTCCTGATCTCTTCTCTGCCTTACTGTTTTCTCTTTACTTTGTAATCTCATCTGATTCCACGACTCTTCAGTGGTGAATCCCAAATGTAGATTCCAACCCTGAACTTTTAATCCAAGCTTCAGCCCCTACCAGATCGTCTGCTAGATCAGACATCTCTTTGCAACTATACCTTAGGCCCTCAGATTGAAGAAAGCTAAAAAGAATCCATTATCTTTCAAGCAAAAACTGTTTCTGCTTCTGGTGTCCCTTCAACCATCACCATTCACCCTGTTTCCTGATCTATATAATCATAGGGTTAGTTCTTTCCTCTGCCCATTCCCCTCCCTCGCCACCAGTCAGTCACTTTCTAAGCCCTCTTAAAAAGTCTACCTTTAAACACCCCCAAGTGTGAGCCATTCTTTCCATCCCACATCTAGTTCCATGGTTTAGATTTAGTGTATCTTGCTTATAGTATTGCTGCAACCTTCTTCATTGGTCTCTCATTTCTGCTCATGTATCCTCCATACTGTTGCTATTTATTTCTCTAAACATAGTTAAATTATGCTACTGCTTGGATCAGAAACTTTTTGGGGCTGGGCACTGGGTAGCTCATGCTTGTAATCCTAGCTACTCAGGAAGCAGAGATCAGGAGGATCAAAGTTAGAAGCCAGCCCAGGCAAATAGTTCAAGAGACCCTATCTCGAAAAACCCATCACAAAAAATTGGGTTGGTGGAGTGGCTCAAGGTGAAGGCCCTGAGTTCAAGCCCAAGTACTGCAAAAAGAAAAGAAAAAGAAACTTTTTTGGGTGTGTATGCGCTGGCCTTGAACTTGTGATCCTCCTGCATCAGCCTCTCAACTGTTGAGATTACAGGCATGCAACACCATACCCAGCTTGATCAGAAACTTTCAATGCCTCAAAATTTATCCATAATTAATATTCATGTCTTCCATTATGTGAGCTCAACCTATTTTTGTAGTCTCATGGGCAATCTTATATTCAAACCATAGATTATTCCTCATTCTCTAAACTTCATGCCCATCCCCTCGTTTCTACCTTTTGAATCTTATTCTTCAAGGTCTATCAATATTGTAAGGCCTTACCTTAACTTCTTTCACATTAAATTAACTTCACCCTCTGTTGGTTTTTTTTCTTTTTTTCAGAACCTTTCCTCCGCTCCTCTCTTCCTCTTCTTTCTCTCCCTCACTCCTCTCTCTCTCTCGTTTTCTTCTCTCTCTTCTTTCTTCTCCTCCTTTTTCCTCCGTCTTTCACCTCGTTCCTCTCCTCTCTCCTTCTCTCCCCTCTCTCTTCTTTCCTTTCTCTTCCTTTTTCTTTCTCCCCTCTCCTTGTTCTCCTCTACTCCCTCTCTCTCTCTCTCCCCTTCGCTTTCTCCATTTAACTCCCCGTCCTTCTTCTTCTTCTCCTCCCTTTCCCTCTTCTCTTCCTCCTCCCCCTGTTACCTCTATTCTCTTTACTCTCTCTCTCCTCCTATTCTTCCTCTCTCTTCATCCTTCTCTTCCCTCTCTTCCTCTTTCTCTTTCTCCGCTTCGTTGCCTTTCTCGCCGTTGAACCAGATCCCTTGTGCTTGCTAGGCAAGCACTTTACCACTTTAGCCACACCTTGGGCTCATATCTTTTTCCCTTTAGTAATTGCATATGAATTTGTATATTCCCCCATCTTTAATTTCTTTCAAAGTGAGGTTGTTTTTATCCCCCAGTGGTCAGCACAATGACTAACTCATAAGCATTGAGAATTGATTAAAGGCTATTCATCACCAGGCACCAGAGGCTCACGCCTAGCAATTTGGGAGGCTGAGATTAGGAAGATGGAGATTCAAGGCCAGCTGGAGCAAATAGTTTGTGAGACCCCCTCCCGCCCCCCATCTCTAAAATAGCCAGAAGAAAATGTACTGAAGGTGTGGCCTTCAGGTCATGTGGTTTAATTGAATGCAATGGTCCTAATTCCTGAGTGAATGGCATGGATAATATAACCTATAATTATTACTAGGAAAAAGTAATGCCTCAGGGACTGTACTGCATATGGTTTAGCTTTCCTGATATCCTGTGTGTTTTGACTGGTGTTTTAGGTAGCTGACATAACTATTCTGGATATCCTTTTGTGGAAAAGTTGGCTGATCAACTAGTTATAATCAGCCTTCATTTGTTGTCATGTTGACATTTGAATCCATAATCTTTAGAGACCAGGATGTGGTTAGTCAAAAATTAAATACCTCTTTTTCTATCCCAAGGAGCATGTGCAAGGCTCCTTAAGCTTTAAGCTCTTTCTGTTTGGTTCCAACATATTTGGCCCACACAAATCCTTGAATAGATTAATAGATACCAAACATTTGATTCATATATTTCTACCTTTATAACCTTCTCTCTCTCTCTCTCTCTTTCTCTCTCTCTCTCTCTGTTTGTATGTGTGTGTTACTGGGGTGTAAACTCAGGGCCTCATGCTTGCTAGGCAAGTGCTCTATCACTTAAGCCATGCCCCCAGCCCTTTACAACCTGTTTAAATTATGGCCTTTTCCTTATGTCAAGTGTAATGTAAAAAAAAAAAAAAAGGCTGAAATATGGATAACCTTTGATTCTCATGCTGGGGATTAAACCTAGGGCCTTGTACATGCTGGGC